GGGGCCGCGTCCCACATACAGCAACTGGAAGGATGTGCAGCTATGACATACAACTATCTACTGGGGCTTTGGGGGGAAAAAATAAATAAATAAAATCTTTAAAAAAAAAGAAAATTCCCTTCATTAATTATTTGTTTAGCCTGAGGAACAGTTCATACAGGATAAGTGCTTGATCTTTCCCTTTACTAGTTTTCAAAACAATGAGTTGGTTCTCTAGTATTCTCCAAAGGAGAACATTTAAAAAAAAAATCAAGATATAATTCACATGCTATAAAATTTACCCTTTTAAAGTGTATAATTCACTAGTTTCTAGTATATTCACAAAGCTGTGCAACCATCACCACTAGTCGATCATTTTTAAAAGTCTCATTATATCGGGCTGGCCTGTGGCATAGTGGTTAAGTGCGCATGCTCTGCTGGGGGCCGGGGTTTGCAGGCTCGGATCCCAGGCACGCACCGACACACTGCTTGTCAAGCCATGCTGTGGCAGCGTCCCATATAAAGTGGAGGAAGATGGGCACAGATGTTAGCCCAGGGCCAATCTTCCTCAGCAAAGAAAAAAAAAAAGGTCTCATTATAAACTCGTGAACATACTTGATGTGTTTCAATCCATAACAATTATTCTTTTGACATTCAAATTTTTTCATCTTTAGCCAACCGGAGCCTCTTTAAACTGGCTCCTGAGACCTTTTGACACACACCCTAGTAAGCACTTTCTTTTCTTGCTTTCTGTTATGAGAAGATATTCCTGGTTCATCTTGTACTTTTCTGCTCCAGCCCAGGAATCAGTCATTTCTCCCAGAAATCCTGGTTCCTTTAGTGGAAAATTGCATATATAGAGGCCCCAGTCTGGGCAGCCAGGGTGCTCATTATTTCTAGGCCTCACATATTGATTTTCACCTCTTTAGTAGAGCTAGTTTGTTTGCTGTGTCCTGTGATTTATAATCCATGAGGCAGAATTTGGCTATTGGTGATTTTCAGGAATTAAACAATGTCTTATTCAACTAATGACCCCTGTGAAAAATACTGTTTGAAAATCACCTAATTGTCAGTCATTGTTTCTTTTAAAATTATTTCCCTTGGGGAGGGCGTGTGGCTTCAAGACTCAGATTAAAGATTCTTATTTGGCATTAATTATAGCCGGCTGAGTTCCAACATGATGCAACTCACTCATGTTACAGTAAGTATAAGATAACTTCAGTATCAAGTATCAGATAAATGGTTAATTTTTATAGGGTGTGCTTAGTTCAATAAAACTAGGGCCTTTCTAGGGGAAAGTAAATATTTTTTTAACCTTTGGGATATAAAATAATGAATTACCACAACTTTCCTCAAAAGGTCTCTATTTTCTCATAAGCCAATAATTTATTGTTTCCTATTTGGATTTCCATCAGTTAGTGATGTGGAGTGAAAATCAACAGCTTCTTTTCTTTTCTTCTTCTGTTTTCTTTTCTTTTCTTTCTTTCTTTAACAGCTTCTTTTCTGACTAATCTTTCTCTAGAAAAATGATTGAAAGGCCTTGCATTATTTCTGGCTCAAGGACCTATAAACATGTCAGGGATCTTTAGTTAAGTTACTAAAACACTGTCAAAACCTTGAGTAGATGCTTTTAACTATCTGATATACATTAATAGCTCTGAAGGAACAAATAAATTTTAGCACATAACCAAAATCCCTTTGACTGCTTTGAAACCATCTATTTTGTATTCACAGCATATGCCTTTGAAATGTTCTGCTCTCAATCTCCCTAAATAAAATTTCCCTTTATTGTGTGTTTATTTAAGTGAGAAATGAAAGCACTTAAGAATGTTTTTATTCTACCATACACAGCCTCCTTATTCAGAGTTCCCCAAGGGCAAGCACCACATCTTTTTACTCCCTGTGCCCAAAATTCTATAGGTCCCTAATACTGAAACAATGAACAAAAGTATCCATGCAAGATAGGCTGTGGTAGGTCATTTAAGTGCCAGCTGTCAGGTGCTTAATTACCCAGTGCTTGATTACCAAATGCTTTCTAGTGATCTTAGGTGTCCTCAAGGTCCTACTGTGAATATTTTCATAAACTGTATTTTGTATTTTATTATAACATCTATTCAAGGTCCTACTGTGAATATTTTCATAAACTGTA